CTTTCCTTGAACTCATTAGAATGAGAATTGATACATGCTCCATTTTCCAGTAGAAGCCTAGCCACACCTACATGCCCTCCGCTAGCTGCTTCCATCAATGGGGTGTGTCCATTCTCATTATGCACCTCTATATCAGCGCCATGGTCCAGTAACATCTTAACCACCTCTTCGTACCCACCACAACAGGCATATATCAGAGCAGTATTGCCCGCTTGTGACTGTGCGTTAACATTAGCAGTATTTTCAAGGAGGAGTTTTACTATGTCGACGTAGCCTCCACTGGCTGCCTCCATTAATGGTGTACAGTCACCYTTGCTTCCTCGATCGTCAACGCTTGCTTCCATTGCTAACAAGACTTGGACTAGCTCATAATAACCTGACACGTAAGAGAAGAAAAATAAGATTACAGTCCTATTCATGTTTCTGCTTCCTAACCGACATCGTGATTTCAATAGACCTCTTCAGCTCTGACGTAATGTTTTCCCATTTCAGACCACATGTCATTCCCTAGAGTATCATTTCTTTGTTTAACAGTTGTAAATCAGAAGACAGAGTAATAGACCTCTTTACCTTGGGAGTAATGTTTTCCCATTTCAGACCACATGTCATTCCCTAGAGTATCATTTCTTTGTTTAAGATTTGCGCTCAGTTGCACATGAGAAGACACATGAATATGGATCCAACTCCAACAAAGAATCTTATTCTCAAGGGAATGACACGTGGTCTGAAATAGGTAAGCATTACCCCAAGCCAAAGAGGTTTTTTAAAGATGGGCTGAGCGCATTCCTATTCATTCCTATCACAAGCAATCAATATTGTGCTACTTTAAAGCCATTTCCTATGACAAATACACTGTCAAGTCATGGAAATATTTATCGCTCACAATGSACTCAGACTGCTGTAAATTTTATCAATGGGAGCAAAAGCACCAGATATCTGTAGTCAGTTCGTTTGCAGAAACATAAAACATGRTTATGATTTTCTGGTGATTCCCCTAAAACTATAAAGTGTTACCTACCTGCAGAACAAGCAAGTGACAGCAGACTTTCTCCTTCATCTGTTGGTTCATGAACACTCCAGCCTTCCTCCAGAAGCTTCTTGACTGCGCCAACATCTCCTTCTAGACAAGCTTCTGCAAGGCTMCGTGCCCCTGAAAAGTTCAATGAACATGTTAATGGCAACAAAACTTATCTTTGAATAAAATGTTTGTAAAAAAATAATTGGGAATACAGAATATCTACTGAATGGAGGTATATTATGTCAAATTCTTCATAAAAAAATTTTCATTAATTGAGAAAAAAATTCAAATTTTTTCTAATGATATCTTCATTGCATAACGTGCACTACTCAATCATGTCAGTGTGCAACATCGATTTTTGGATGCATGCTAGCGCATGCTAATTACCCAATCAGAGCACACGAAATATTGTGGGTATGTTATAACAGCCAATCAGAACTCATAATTTTTAGGATCCTGAAACAATRTATTACTATTTTACATCAGAAACTAACCTGTATCTACAGAATGATTTGGTGACGAYGGTACTCCACTATTTTGAGCCCGCATTCTAGTAAGAGCAGCAGCAGCTTCATCAAGAGCAGAGCTGACTGAGGAGGTTAAGCGCCGTAACACTTCTGGGTCGGCAAATACTTTCCCATCAGCTAGCTTACCCATGCCTGAAGTGGTAAAAAAATATACCATGAATATCAAAGTTTTACTGCAATAAATAGAGGTTATCAGTCGGCTGAGCATCTGATACGGCTGTGTAAATTTACGAGTCACGTAGTATTTTAGGGAGCCTTTTGGCGAGCCAAAATACAAGTGACGAGTAAAAATGCAAAGCCTTATCAGATGCTTAGGCGATAGATAAGTTGTTTATTATTCAATTCTGCCAAGAAATGCTCAAACTCCCTCTAAACTATCATACCCGATTGCAAGCAGATGAGAAGTGCTGTCACGGTCTCATATCAGGCATGGTCTTCTCCCCTATCACTCACATTCTTTGCAGAATTAAATGATAAATAAACAATATCTCAAGGAAGATTTTACAGGATTAGAGGCACAGCGTAACCTGCAAACGTATGGCCACATTTAATGTATTCGAATACTTCTATGCACAAGATTTTTCCTGCCAAACGAGCATTTGCATGCCTGATTYGGTAAAACCAGCCAGCTTCACATTGAAACAGTCGGTTTAATGTACAGAACCTGTGCATAGAAGTATGCAAATACATTAAATGTGGTAACACTTTTGTGAGTTGTGCTGTAATTACCCTAATTTCACTATGACGTCACTGCTTGTTTATGTGGGGGATAGAATTGCCAAATCCAATAGAAAATTCAATCAAATTTGCTCCTAGCCAAACAGTTTAATCTAAAATGGCCTGGTTTTCAGATATAATATGTGCTAATATGTACTAAAAAATATTCAAGTTTGCTGKCTATTCTACTTCTCTTCATGGATTGAACAATTTTCGGTGAATTTGTGTGGATTTAACCCCCTCCGACGACCATGACACTTTGCGTTTAAACAATAGGTTATTTTAATGTGACGTCATAATGAAATAGGGCAATTAAGAAGGTCTAATCGTTAATTTTGTAAGCCACTTTAATGCTAATGAATACTGTGAAGTGTTTCTTACTCATACGACAATAATAATAATAATAATAATAATAATAATCTTTATTGGGTGAACTAATAAAGCAGTGAGCTTATTTCCAATTAGGCCCAAATGCTCTTAACATGGAGTATGGCAATCATACCTGCAGCTTCAAACAAAGCGCCCAGCCTGGCTTGTGTCTCAGGGTCCATCTTGTGCAAGTCATATTTACTTAGCCCATCTGAGCCAGATAACATTAGCTTGGAAGTCAATTCATTTCTTTTAGATTTTAATATAAAATCCATCTGTAAAGAAAAATACAGGGTTAATAGACTAATTTAGCTCAGGCATAATGTTTTGCCCATTTCAGACCATGTGTCATTCTCTTGAGAATAAGGTTTTATGTTTGAGTTGTATCCATATTCATGTGTCTTCTCATGTGCGATAGTTAAACAAAGAAATGATGCTCTAGAGAATGACACATGGTCTTGAGAATAACATTCTTTGTTTGAGTTGTATCCATATACATGTGTCTTCTCATGTGCGACAGTTAAACAAAGAAATGATACTCTAGAGAATCAGATTGGAGCTTGGGGATTACAGCCTCCCAAAAAATTTTGGCGTCATAATTTGAATTGCTTTTTTGCTATTTAAATATCAATAAATAAGTTGTTAATGCCCCTCAAAACGCTAGAAATCCCACAAGGTTCTCAGTTTACATGTAGCCCCAAAATCACAACTGTGGCCTATTGGAATGACATGTGGTCTGAAATGGGAAAACATTATTCCAAGGCTTAAAGGGGTTTATTGGATGAGAAACACTTGTCTATAAAATAACGTTTTCCGTATCATATTGCTCATTCACTGCAGACTCACTTGTTTGAGATATGATATGGAAGCTCGGGAATAAAAACAATATCTAGCTCTTAACATGTAATAATCTATATTACGTTTTTGGCAAGAAATATATCCAGCCATTTTTTCTATGTTTATTAGTATATAGAGTACCAAAGTGATGAGGTCACTAAATTATTTTTAAAGACATTTWGGATTTTGGTGAMATTCTYAGAAACTGTATGTAAAAATATGAYATAGTGTGAAATCTCAGACRGATAGAGCRAAAAGCAGCTGAGATATAGRTAATTTAATATGAAAATATCCCCATACATTTTCTCTTATTTGAGGCTGGATCTAACGTGATTGGATCCAGTCCAAAATAAGAGAAAATGTATGGTGAATTGATTACCCAATATCTACATTTCTAAAGCTCTGAAAAGCCCTAAAGTTGGCAGAAATGTAGGCAATGGTGYRTTCTSTTCAAAYAYGAACATTTCAAAACTGAATTGCAAAATTTGTAATTTGATGACATCACACTTTGGCACTTTATTCCCTGCCATTATTTTYTCTTAAGATAAGAAAATCAATTGTCTCTTTTATCATGCCTTTTGAAATTAGTGTACTATAGCATAGCATGTGACAGAATATTACAGGATATTAGATAGCCCCTGGGAAATACAAATTCTTAAGAAGGAATAATAACAAAATATCRTTAGAGTTAGAGCACTAAACAAGAAAGATATTTTTCAACATATAAGGATAAAGCTTGTRTTTCAATTGGGTATAATATACTGTTTATTACATTATTGATGAATGACCAAGGCTATCATACTGTGGACTAAAGCCTAGTATAAACTATCTGCTGAGAATTTCACAACATCTTAAAGTCATTACTTCGCTTCAGTGTCATACTCATTTTATTGCAGCAAAGATATAACTATTTAGAGAATGAGGGAATGAGAGAGAAAAATAAAGTAAGAGTTAACAGTAATGATGAAAAGGTAAATTATACACCATGAAAAGATGAAAAAACTTACTGACGTTTCGAACGCTAGTCCTTCGTCGGAGGACTAGCGTCCAAAACGTCAGTAAGTTTTTTCATCTTTTCACGGTGTATAATTTGCCTTTTCATCATTGCTGTTTCATTAGAAACACTGACGCAGCTCACACTAGTCTTTAGCTAGTTATATCTTCTTAAGAGTTAACAGGAGAAAAATGCGAAGGACAAGAAGATTAAACTTCTCAGAGAGGGAGAGAAAAAGAAGGAGAAAGAAAGAAAGAATGAGAGAGAAGAGAGGTAAAAAGAGAAACAGGTTTTAGTATTCTTCTAACCGTTTTTTTTTTAAATATTTCAATGTAATACTAATGTATGAATACAAAAACACACAAAGTACACTAGCATTACTAATGACAAACATTAAGAAGGTATTCCCAGAAACCACCATTTCAAATAACAGAAATAATGAATAGAATGATTTAGTTCTTGGACAAAAATCAGCAAAATCCCTCAATCATTTATGTACTAGTAGAGATRAAGTAGTATTGAGTTATACAGGTGGGTGGAATAAATTCAAATCTTAGTGACGATTACATTTATTAATTTTTATAAAATAGAAGTATGGAAAAATATTTTAATCCTATTACAGAATTATAAAATATTTTTGTTTTTTGAACGCCAGACAAATCTAAGTCTTGAGAACAGCACGTGTTTATGAAGCAACAAGAGATGCAAGAAAGAMAGATATATTGATAACGATAGAAAATCCTAAGTAAATAATCATTTAAAACAGCGTTGTTCAAGGCTTGATTTTATAAATAATTTTAAAAATTGAATCCATAAAAACTAGTATTTCATTCCTTCGTGTAAAATACTCTTAAATATTACTAAATCGTTATTAATTTGTTGATCTTAAGAAGAAACAAATTTGAAAACCACGAAATATTAAAACTTTGAATATAATTTTGACGATTTTTAAATAAATAAAAGTWAAATAAAACCCTGTAGACGAGAAATCTCTTGAAATTTGGGTAAATTATACACAAAAAAATAATAAATAAAATTCCAAGAAATAATAAATTGAGTTCGAGTTTGTGGTCGATCTAGTGAAGTCATTCTTCAAATACAGGTTTCCCGCGTACAAAGTCGTCATTAAAAATTCTTGTTTAATCATTCTACACTATTTTATTTCGTATCACGGAATCTTTTAAACCATCTAGATGTCTAGAAAAAATATTTCTTGTCTCTGAGATAATTTCTTTTTCCTAAATAAATATTTTCTTGTCAGAAGTCGATATAGAGATGTGTTAATATTAATACGTAAGAGAAGTTCAACGTAGTTACTCTAGACTCTAGCCTTTCCTCCGCTCTGTAGCTTAAACCAACGTTATATTTCAATCCATAACCCACTTAAACCCTTCCTCTACTTTATAATTATCAGTTAAATTTAACTAAGACTTACAGCAGAGCTGTTGATGCCTTCATTATCAAAATCATCGTCTTCATCTGAGTCTGATTCAGACACTGACGGTGATCTTTGGTTGTCGAGAATTCCGCTTGAATTCGGCAAAGAATTAGGCTGTTGGTGAACAGACATCTTGTAATAGCGTTTAACAATGTGTATTGAAGTGATTTGGTTGAGCTAGAAGCATAGTAACGCTTTAGTTGGGTAAATAAATGCGAAAACGTGTCGTTGGTTGGAGTTGATCAAGATATCGTGTCCRCCATTACACAAAGATTTCCTCGTAAAACCCCGGATTTATGCAAATATGGAGCATGCGTATTGGCATGCCTCGTGGAGCCTCGCTGTCACGCCGCCATTTTTTATTTTTAATATTTTATCTTGCTCTGATAATAGGAATTTTTCCATTCGACATCTTAGGAAGTTTAGAAGCGATTTTGTACAAGTAAAAAAAAAAAAAAAAGAACGAAAGAAAATTATCAATGAGAATACTTTCCCCCGCAGACAGTTCCGATTCCCCTCCCGTTTTCTGTTTCGCTTTTTCAGTCGGATTCAGTAGAAAACCACTAGTTATTTATTACAATAAACCAATAGCAGCTGCTTCATTGAGTCTTCAACGATTTTATTAGTGTTTACTTCGAGGTACACATGCAGAAATGATTAGGAAAGGCC